TGTGATGAGGTCAGCTGGGTTCCGTGTGGAGCATTTCCCTGTGGGGCTTTCATATTACTAGATCATGGGATTTTTTTGGGTATTTGTTTATGCATGTAAAGCACTTCATGGGGCATGTTCACGTGGAAATTGCTCGTTAAAAGTAGCAAAGAGAACGTTTAAAGTGTGGTTTCGTGCAATGCTTTATTTGACAGGACAACTCATTTGCTGATAACATAGAATCTAAGTTGCTCTATTAAAGTAACCACTAGACAAATATAATGTTCCTAGCATGTAGATTTTAGAAAATTTTTGCCCTTTTCTCAGTTTGATGTAATGTAAATGTTATTTTCAAACATATAAATTGAGATATCATGAAATAAACGTAACCTATGTCAAGTTTGTTTCTGAACGCACCTGCAGAAATCTGTGTTCTTTCTAGCTACTAAAAAACTCAGAGACCAAGGGGGAAGGGAGATCATTTGGATGCCAGGTAGTGTATATGGCATAGATTTGGTTATGGTAAGTTTAGCATAATCCATCATAAGGTGACGTTCTTGATGGACTTCACAACAGTGAACAAACTGGCTTTGAGAGTTTCTTTTCTTTAATTGAAGGGATGTTGCTCACCATACTTTTCCCTGTTTAGATTCATGTGTTTACCAGAGAAGTGAAACACACTCAGATTGTATATCTTATCTGTTCCAGTAAGCAGTCTGACTACTCTGAGACCACCAGGCCATAAGGGAGGTCCAGCCAGTACCACACGTTCCAGCTTTCACAGGTCGGGCACCTGACATGTGAGTGAAGAAGTCGTCATGGACTCAGGAGACATGACATGGAGAAGACTCGAGGAACCCAGCTGACATCCGGAACTGACACTCCAGATGTATGGCCCCAGGTGAGCCATCTGGGCCATGTCCAGTTGCTAGGTCCATTCTAGCTGAGGCCTCAGTCATCCTGGAGCAGGGATAAATGGTCCCCAGTGTGCCCTGCCTAACGTCTGATCCACAAAATTGTGAGCATTATAAAATAGCTGTTGTTTTTAAAAATGCTATAGGGGCATAGATACCAAAAGCGGAGGCACAAACAAGTATAAAGAATACTGAAAAATAAGGAATAGTTATAACAGTTCTTCAATTCTGATTGTTGGTACTCTCAGTTCAACTTTTTATCTATCCATTCATTCAAGAAAAGTGTATTGAGACAGCTGCAAGGCAGACATTACTATACTTAGTGCTGGGGATACAACACACACACAAAACACACAAAACACACACAAAAGGATAAAATAGCTCTGTCCTTGGGGAGTGTCTAACTTAATGGGGGTGCCAAACAAGTAATCAGTTCCTATACAATATGATACAAGGCTGCTCTACTGTAAGGGTTTGCAGATGAACAAATTGCACTGAAGATGCTGAATCTCCCAGCCTTGAGGGACTCAGAGACACATTGCAGAGGAGTCTCTGCTTGAGATAAGCCTCACAGGACAAGTAGAAGTTTACCAGATGGCCAAGGTGCGGTGGCCCTAATGCTGTAGCATCAAAGAACAGGGCAGCATGGATCTGGACGCTACAGTCTCAGTTTTTCTTTGCTTTCCCTGGGCAAAGCATTGATTGCACAATTAATATTTTAGAGAAGTATTCTATCTATGTGGTAAGTACAACTGAGAAGAAACAACTCATGGGATGTGGAGGATTACTCAACAGAGGCTCATCAAATGAGCACCCTACAGAAGCCCGGCCCATTCCGCAGATGCGCCAAGGCCTTAGCTCCCCCACCCCAAGGCAACTAAGTTGTTGGTTTGTTTTTAAAAGCATGCTTTCTGTTCAAATGCGACCTTTTATTTTTCAATTAAAGTTTACATTCAATATTCTGTACTAGTTTCAGGTGTCAAATGTGACTTTTTTTTTAAAATCCTCACTGGAGGATATTTTTTTATTTTTCCATTGCTTTTCTGAGAGAGTGGGGGAGAGGAGAGAGACAGAGAGAGAGACACATTGATTGGTTGCCTCCAGCACATGCCCTGACCGGGCTGGGGGATTGAGCCTGCAACCCATGTACGTGCCCTTGACCAGAATTGAACCTGAGACTCTTCAGTCCTTAGGCCGATGCTCTAACCACTGAGAAACTGGCCAGGGCAAATATGGCTCTTAAGATAGCTTTCCTGGCCCCTACATCCATCCAGTTTACTGTCCTCATCTCTTTTTACAAAAAAATTCTAGGGGTACCTGAGGGTGGATGCTGTGCTCTGAGGATAAAAGCAGATGTCTCCACGGTAGGACAACAGTCATCATGAGGAAGATTGTGTCCTAAAATATATAGGTATTGTTTCTAGGGGACAAACTTGGTTAAAAAAACTTCTTCAAACATTTCCTTGCTTTCAAGTTTAATGAAACTCCCGCAGCGTTTCTAACAACAGCTAGATTGAGGAGGCTTCTGTGAAAGAGGCTCCTAGAAGTAACAGGAGAACACGTCAAATCATTGCAAGAAAAATGGCTCTGACTTCAGTAAGGCAGGGAAGGGGGCGGGGGAAAGCGGGAGTGTCAACAACAAAAATAAAGCTAAACTTTCAAGAAAGTAGGTGATGGAAGGTAATGTTTTCTAGCGAGGGAGAACATTTGTGGAAATCTTATCCTTTGGAAACAATATGGAGCAAGAAGCAATTTGCAACTTACAATGTGTGCCTGGGGTGACACCCTGTAGTCAGGGTTCCCTGGTTCCTTCAGGATCTCTCTGCGGTAAAACTAGCAGCAGAACTTTGAATTACTGTGAGGTCTGGCAGCCCTGAGAGCTGATAAGGGCTAATTCTCCTTGTTGCCACTTACTGCCCATCATTATACAGCATTTATACCAATAATTGAGTTCAATTAGCCTGGGAATGCTCCAGAAACTGATGTCCTGTGAAACGACTAACTCTCAGCTTCATGCATTTACAATCACTTTCCCCCCCTGCTTTCTTTCAGAGGAAGACTGTCTTCAAAAATAGTCATTTCTCTCTGTTTTTAAGTTGTTTTGTGCAAGAATGGACAAATGTAAAAAAAATTATTTTTTTCATAATTCTCCGAGTAACAAGTTGGTTGATGGATTGGTGTTTGGCGTTTGCAGATTTTGTCAAAGAAAAGAGATAAATTGAAAATATTACAAAAAGAAAAGAAAATCTGGAAACTCCTGCCCTGGAAGGGAGAGACAGAGGCGAGGAAAGCGAATAGGTGACTCCCCGGTGCCCCAGCTGGGAGGGACCAGCTGGGTCCCTATTTTCCTGATGAGGAAGTGGAAGGGCGACGTGTCCGCGAGTCTCTCAAGACACACAGCCATCGCTGTTCTCGGAGTTGGACCCGGGCTCCAGGGCTTGCTATGGCAAGCTGCAGGCGAAAACTATCACTTTTGGAAGGCAGAGTAGGAGCTTTTAGTTAAAAAAACTGTCAACAAATGAGGGTGAACTAAATTCACCCCCTGAGCAATGCATCAAGTTAGTCAGCTCTCAGACCCGGCGAACCCGAGTTGCGGACCCGCTCGCTCGCCGCTGACGGGGGCCCCCATAGAGCCCGGGGCCGCGGGACTTCCTACCGGCACGTGTCCGGGCGCTTCCGCGGGACCGGAGAGCTCCGCGCGGCGCGCGATGAATGGAAACCGCGGTGTGCGGCGCGCCGGCCGGGGGCGGGGCCGCTGAGGAGAGGGGGCGGGGCAGCGCATTGTGAGTCACCACCTTCCCAGTGAGGCGGGACGGGGGAGAGAACTCCGGGCGTGATTGGTCCCTCGTAACCAGGTGATCGCAGAGCGCGTTCCGGTTGGCTGGTGCCGTTCCGGACAACGGCTTTCAGTTGAGAGGCGGTTGCGGGCGGAGGAGGAGCTTCGGCTGCGCTCTCTTCTCGCAGTGGTTGTAGTTTTCAACGCCTGTCTGGTCCCCACCCCTTTTAAATAAGTCGGGCTGGGCGCAGCCCTCACAGACTAGGCAACTCGGGGAAGGCGGTAGCGGCGCGGCGGCGGGGGGTGCGGCCGGGCCCGGAGCCCT